CCCCCGCCTGCGAATGCTGTGTGAGGGCGTATGTGAGATGCAGAAAGGCTCGGAGAGGCCTAAAAGGCTTTGTGCACACAGATGACGTGTGGATTGCAGGTGCTGTGCCAGACTGGGCAACAGGTGGCGCTGGGTTCACACAGCAGGACGTGGGTGTTTGGGCCTTACTACACTCATGTACATACAAAAAGCAGGGACGTGCACACTCAAAGCCGGCTGAGTCACAGAGATGGATCACTACGTGCTGCAAGCTGGAAATGGCATGTCTCCCTGAGGAGAGGAATAAAAGGATTATAAAAGGGAGGTGAAGATTTTAGCTTCAGATTTCTACCCGTGTAGAAAACTCCAGCAGCACACCGACGATGGGCAACGTCTCCTGGTTGTAAATCAGAAATACAGTCACACATGTTTGTAAGATCTCCTCCAGAAGTGTCTCACCCCTCGTGGATTGCGGTTGTACGGGACTGTGGAAATGTGCTGCAAGCTTCTGGTCCGCCCTTGCGGTCTTGGATCGGTGTGTGTGAAAGTAGGAAATGAGGAAGCCGGGAAGCATCCTTGAGATCATGTCAACACTACACACGGGTCCCAGAGGGAGTGGTGCCTACACAACTCAGCCTTCCTCTGACCTGCATACATCAGCTGCTGCCTGGCTCTGGCTCTGGCAGAGCTCTCCCACTCCCACCAGCATGGCCCTGCCCAGGTTACCCATGTCTCATGCGTTTTGTCCCGTTTGTTTCTCACGCCTCTTTTTGTCACATAATGGAAGATCCCAGTCAATTATAATTTCCATGGAAGAAGCTCCATTTTCCTTCCCATGACGACATGGCTGTGTGCCACACGTAGGCTACTCTCACTCAGAGTGGGAAGGAGTTGAATAGTCTTTTCTTTGTCATTCACATTCCTTCCTACTTGTACTCTATTTCTTTCACCCTTTTTCCTTTTTCACTTTTTGTTTTAGCCCTAGTCAACTGCAGTGCTAGAGTCCCAAGTAGAAATCCACAGAAACTGAACAGGGCTACCAAGAATCCACTTCTCTCCTTTATATGCCCATTGAACATCTCTTTTCTCCGGCGCCCCGCCCCTCACAAACCCATTCCTCACTTCCCCTCTGTCACTCCTCTTATTGCTCTTCTAGCTCTGTTCCAGAGTGAGCTACAGCAGGGATCGTTAAGTGGTAAGTTCACCCCAAAATAAGAACATCTTTTTCCCACCCGCTGTGCTATCTATCAATCTAGATTGTTTTGGTGTGAGTTGCCTAGTTTTCGGCCTTGGAGATGTCTGCCTTCTGTCCAATATAATGGGAATATATGGCACACGGCTAGTGGTGCTCAATGTGTATTTCTTTATTTTGGGGTGAACATCCCCTTTAAGTCAGCGTAGTCACCAGTTGTTAGGGTTCATTATTTGATACACCCGCTATTTATTAGGTTAAATTTCAGTTCAAAGCAGACAGTGTCTAAACTAAGGAGCAGTTTTCCTGTTCATATATGGAGGCAAGTTAGGCATTCATATGAAAATAGATGCCCCTTACGGATGCATAGAGATGTTTTTTTAAACCCATAATTACATCGTATTGGTTGCTGAGTTGTTCCTCGTGTCTCTTTAGATACTCAAGATGCCATGCACTACGGTTTTTATAACTGCAAAGATGACTTTTTAGACCTGCAGTGTGGTCAGATATTTTTTGTGACACACCTCTCATGCATAGCAAAGAGGCATGTTGTGTCATTCTAATACATTCCTCCTTAAATACACTCAAAACCACCATTCTCTGTTCTGAGATTTGTAGGAAACAATATGCATCCGAAAGCCATTCAGCAACAAACTGCCATAATCAATATTAAGTTCACAGTTCATTTTCAAAAAGCATGGAAGGAAAAAAGTTGAAAAATCCAGTAATGCCTGAAGATAAAAACATAGCCACATTTATCCATAGCTTTTCAGATGTGGAGGAGGGAGATTGTCTGGATTGATTTTCTCTTCGTGAAAGAGAGAGATGGTGGGGGATTAACTACTACTTGGTTACCTTCCATGCAGTGTGTGTGGGTGGGAAAGCAATGGGGGCTGCCTGTGTATTTCTGTCACGTGTGGCCAGGCTCATTAGTCTATACACTTACATTACAGAGGCATTTGATGTCCAGTGTGGGTGTTCATAGGATTTCTGTTTGCTGTTGGTGCAGTGGAAACACCATCACTATATAACTGTCATGTGGAGGTGGCTGTGATTGAACATTTGTGCTGTTGTGGTGCGAGGTGAGATGGAAAAAGTAACTTTCCAATCTGACATTTTGTGGGATTCCCCCCTTTTTTTTCTTTTCATTTCCAGTCGGCAGTGAGCTTCCGTATTCATCGGAGGAGGCTTTTACATGGCAGGAAAAGAAAAGAAATGACTGCAATTGAGAGTCAGTGATTGGGAGATGAAGAAAAGATGGAACTCTTCTCCCCTCCCCTTCCTGTGCGATGTCAAACCCTATTCTCTCTGCTTCAATGATTGACGTCACACGAAAGGAGACCAATCAGAGCTCTCAGACTTCCCTGTTTATCTTGCCCAGCTCCTCCCCTTGCCATGGTCCTTTATATATCCCCCGCCACTACAGTCAGCAGAGTGTACAATGTGCTGCCAGAGAGACAGCAAGAGAGGGAGGGAGAGAAGGGGAAAGTGTGAGTGGATTTCAGCGCTGACTTAGAAGCCTTCATCTTCAGTCATCTCTCCGGTGTCTTAGAAAGCTCCTTCTCCTTTCTCTCTTTTTGTGCCTTTCTCTTTTTCTTTCTGCGTCTCCAGGCCAGAGCTGACTGCGAACGTGATCCAAGAGGCCCACGCTGCAGCCTGGCTTCAGGATCCCCCAGCTCACAACATCAGGATGGGCTGTACAACAGGCCACCTGGCTTGCCAACCCCAGACCAACACGGGACAGGAGGGTCAGTCCCTGGAGGCTGGCGGGGCCAAAGTCCCCGAGGTGCTGTCCTCTCTGGAGCGTCTGTCCCAGGCCACCGGTGGCATGGAGAAGTCCTGGTACCGCTGCATCTTTCCCTTCGGAATCATCTCTCTGGTGATTGGCGTCGCGGGAACCGGGGTGACCTACACCTATAATGACCTGCCTCAGACGAAAGTGGTGTCGGTGGTTCTACTTGTCATGGGTGTTTTGCTGTTGCTGACGGCCACTGCCTGTTGGATTGTCCACAAGAAGAAGAGAAGGAAAAAGAAAGAGGGAGGCTCGTTCACCTCTGAGCAGTGTCCCCTGTGAAGCACATGGGGAAAAACAGTGGTAGGAACTTGAAAGTAGAGACATACCAACTGCTGGGAGCTCAAAGGTTGGCTAAAGAAGCCGCCACTTCACCTCCTCCCAGCGCCTAATCCCCTCTATTCTTTATCACAGAGTTTCGGCTCAGCTCATACCGGAGAGAACTTAAGCTGAGAAATCATAGAGAGTGGAAGTTTGGACCATTTTGGATTGACAAGGAGGGATCACCGATGCCTCACACGCTCTTTTATCATCAGACGGCAGGTGTCCAGTGTCAAAACAACCTCAGAGGAGACACACAAATATGCATTGCACACTACATGCATATTTACACACACGGATACATGGCCCTCGCAGTCCTCGCTCACATATGCACTAGCGGTCACAGTGGGAGCTCGCGCAGACACCTAACACGCTATGCAGAGCTGCTGCCGGATTCAATGCTGGCGTCACTAGGCACGTCAGTCGCAGCATTCCTCTTGCCAGGACAGGTGACTCTCCAAGAGGCCAGAAGTGGGCCAAAGACGGCAACCTGATACCCGGGCCGAAAGAGCAGGGCACCCGCGTCAGTGGCCAGCGTCATTCACTCGTCCTGTGACACCGCAGCAATGTGTTGGGAGCTTTTTTTACGCAACGGGAGAGTGGAACTTGAGTCCAGCAGGATCTTAGTGGCATCTGTGTGAACGATGAGCCGGAGAGAGGGCAGAGGACCTGCTGGGGAAGTGGAAGGTGTTTGTGTGTGCTCAAATAAAGATTCTGGTCAACTGAAAGTCTGTTGGACCTTTGGGCTTCACTACTGAGAAGCAAAAGATTTTCACATGTAGCCATGTTCACGCCAAGCGAGAGGAACTTCTAGTCAAGCAACATGCTCCGAAAGGCCTTTTGTAGCTTCAGCTTCACACTACAAAGGAGTGGGGCACTGACTTTCAATGTGCGCACATTTACGCCCAGCCTAGTTTCTTCGTGGGGCACCTCAAACCCACACAGGACAGGCCAGGATTACTGAAGGACACTACCCGAGGGGACATGCCACTGTAGGAACACTTTGACTGATCCTGCTCCCCTAGGGCCCCTCCCTCTTGGTGCCTTGAGCAAGCACTCATGGAAAAAGGCTCTGTCGCATTCCGCTGTTTCCATCTGAACCCCTGAGAATTTCCCCCCTTGTTTACTCTCTCTCTCTCTCTCTCTCTCTCTCTCTCTCTCTCTCTCTCTCTCTCACTTTACCCCAACAGGACTCTCCTCATTCATCCCACATGCCTTCCTCTATCCTAAATCCCCAGTTTCTGACTTGATCCCCTCATTTCCCCATTGTTATATAGCCCAGCCACACACACTTAAATGTAAGGCTCATAGTACACAGACATTTGTCTTTATCACTCCTTGCCAAAGAAAATTGGATAGTTTTGCTCTCAATGTGGGAAGTATTGAAAATATGGTACAAGGCTGTTCTCTAGTGGATACTGATTACTGTTTGTGCTCTCAGTGTCTCTGGGGTTTCCCTTTCATGTACTTCTTTCTTTGGGAAAGAGAGTGAATGTAGCTGCGCTCAACTCCATGGCTGTGAATAGGTGCTTTCTGTTGCTGTGTGCTCTCACAGGATGAGACACACTATGGCTTTTTTTTTAGTCTTGTCTTAAATATTCTCGCCACTGAATGTAACATGGGATGAAAAATACAAATCACATAAGTAGAAAGTGCAAATCACAGAATGTATAGCTGTATGTATAGCTGAAAGGAGTCCAGTCAGTTTGTCTCCATGTGAAGGACCGCGCAAAAGCACTCCATTACCCTTGAGAGCTATTGTTGATCACTGTTTTGTCGATTCTGGCTACCAGAGTGGTGACGTTGCTGAGTAAAATGTGTCTATGCATCCAGAGGTAGCAGTTAACACACAATGCCAAAGACCGCCCTGGAGGCCAGCTGCTTCAACCTGCAATCAGTCCACTCTCACACATGTCTTCGCGGCTCACTGTGCATTTAGATGTTCTGTTGCTTACTGGTTGTCAGCCAAACTCTATTAAGCTTGTAGAAGGGGGCGGATGAGGAGGTAATGGTGGAAGACAAAAGCAGAGCTTGGGAGGTCATTCCTTTCACTTAAAGGTGGGAGTGGGGAGCTATCCCTGCAGTTAGACCCGGTTGGGATCCGTCATCCCGAACAGAGCAGTATTATTCTTGGGGGCTATAATGCATTACTGGCAGCAGCAGTGAAAATGCCAAGATAAGCAATGTGTAGTAAGTCTTCTCTGAACCTTCTTGTACTGGCAAAAAAAACATGATGTGTAAGTTCTTTTTTTTTTTTAGCTCAGTGCAGTGTAGTAAATTGTGGTTGCATACTTGTACTTGCTGATTTTCAAGCTGTATTGTGACAGTGAGTTGACACTAAATATTAATGGCAGGTGACCAGAATTAGTTTGATAGAGATGTGAAGTGATTTCCCGTCTGCCTTTTTGAAAAAACTAAAGGGAAAGTCTACCTCGCTCTGTTGGTAGACAGCCACGCTGTCTGCCAACGCTGTTTGTCACGAGCGAGTGACACGAAATATGTCTTGTTTGTGTGCCCTCTAATATTTGGTGCTGTATATATGACAATTTTATATTTTTACTGTATATTTTTACTTATATGTACATTTTATTTGTTGTATTAAATAAATGTTACCTGAACTGAACTGTGAGATTCTACTTTATTGCCTGAGGTGAAAGTAAGTATTTATTAAATACATCCCTTTGTATTAAACTTGCTTTCTTTGGGAGATTATTCAGAATCATCCAAAGGGAAGAGGCAATAAGCTCTCTCACAATCCATCTAGTGAGGAGACAATGAACTTACACTGTTTTTACACTATTTTCAACAGTGTGCACATTAGATTATAGTTGTCACCTCACTTAACCATGTACATAGAACATTCAAAAAAACATCTTTGGTTGACGAGACCACCTCAGCCTCCCCTGTGCTTGAAATTTCGATGCTGTATATAGACGCATTACCATGTGCTGCCAGCTTGAATGACTTGGTCAGATACCAGAGACATGTGTGATCCTTTGGTTGTTAGGAAAACAGGCTGGCCAGAATCGAGCAGAATAAATGACACCCCCTACTGGCATAATGATAACACAGGCAAACTACCCACACATTGACTAACCTATTATTATGCGTTGTCATCGTACAGGCCTGTCCTACTGGTTCAGTTGGTTCAGTTCAGCAGGAGTTTATTTTGTATTTCATTAACAAAGAACACGTTTGATCATTCAGTGGTAACTGTGCTGGGAAACAGCTTTGGGTGTGAAGGGAGCAGTGTTTAGGTCTGAATAAAGAGGCCGACGGGGGGGGGAGTGCAGATGAAGTGGAAGTGGTCAGCTGGACTGCTAGGGTCAGCACAGATTACAGGAAACCAGATGGGAGCAACTCATCCGCCTCTCAATTTCCAGAACTTGGCTTCAAACCTGAACATTCAGTGCTATTTGGCTTTTATCATAGTTTGAATTATGCAAAGCTGACATCAGTTTAAAATGCAAAGCCACAAAAACAGGCAGCACGAAGTGACATCAGAGAGTCTGGATTTGATTCCACGGCTGATGACTTCATTCATGTTTTATTCAAATTCCCGATCAACAGCATCTGTGCAAAATTCTGTCTTATTGAATTAGTCACTGCCTGCTGTGACATTTCCAAATGATGCTTTTGTTACATTTAAATTTGGCAGCGGTTTTGGAGACACAGGTGTGGATGGAAATCACACGGGCCAGACAGTCAAATTAAATCACAGGCAAAAATGAAATTAAAATGCAGTCTCAGTGTAGATAATGTAATAGAATCAAATGTGATGAGAAGCTATTGGATTGAATCACTCGCACACTTAAAGAGAGTACGGAGGGGACTGTCGCATGCACCCAACGCTGATTATTTTTGATCATTTCTGGATGAAGAGGAATATGACACATTGCCAAACAAACAAAAAGATATTACAAAGTGTTTTTCTACCCCCCCCCCCCATGAATAACCGTACTTCCCATCTTTCTCTTTAATCTCCTCAACAAATGTCCACCTTATAGATAATCAAAAGCTTTTTTCAAAATGTGTTCTGCTCTGTATTTCATTAATTAATACCTCGCTGCATCAGGAGCGCTCCTATGAAGTCATCGCTCTCACATCAAACCCAATTACTTCATGTGGGAGGCGGCAGCTTTACAACAACACATTTTCAGAAAAATTATACTGTAAATAATGATTGCTCAGGGAACATAATTGTAGACTTGGACCCACTGTTTAGTGAGCACATTGTGCATTGTTTTATTGCTATAATTGTTTTCAATTTAGGCTGAAAGCACCAACTGATCGCCTTCCCCTATAGCCATTACTGGTCACTTTGTGTTTTACTGAGAAAATGGTTGGGGTTTCTATGGGAACAGCAACTGCATCCAATTGACGATGTCACAGCCTCTGCCCCGTCTGAGGTCACTCACAAGATAATTTAATTATACAACACTTCCAGTAGACGCAGCAAGAATGACATGCCTCAATGAATACAGAGATAATTTGAAGATGTGTGTTTTCTTTGTTTGCCATCACACACAGGCTGCAGTTCGCATTTATAGGAGAACACGAAGAATTGTATTAATTAAAGGGCTTGCCCGATAGGCTGTGAAATATATATAAAAATATTGTTTGTTTTAAAAATACAATACATTTTCTTCTACTCTTTTTAAAGACAACCATTCAATGATAGGTCATATTGAACTAAAGCTATTTAAGGTGATGATGAGATTGGATGAGCTGCAGATCAATAGTGAGCCTGAAAGGAACAAATGATTACTACTGGCAGTGTACTCTGCTCCTTTATTACCCTCTTCAAAAGACCAGCAAGAGGACACTATTCAGTCAAAGTCTATTCCCAATGGGGATCCAACACAATGGTTTTAATCATGCTGTCATTTCTGCAATTTCCTCAAAGGCAGCTGCATCAGAGTCCAAAACCAATCTGTGGCTCTTCTTTTGAAATCTCTGCTCTGTCAAATATTGATGAATTGATACATTTTAAGTGTGTGTGTGTGTGTGTGTGTGTGAAATGTGCGAAAGAGCAAGGCGACCGACAATATGATTTCCTATTGTGCTGCATCACAGGAACACATCAATAATCATATTTGCTCCACCAAAGTTTTCTTTCTTTACATTTTACACATTTCTCTTGATTAACCCTACCAGTATCATAGCAATTGAATATGCACTTCCCACCTCATATTCTGTGGCAAAGTCTGCAAATAATCTTTGACCTCATTACAACTTCTAGTTCTGTCTGACAAGAGAAATTTGACAGCAGTCATTCATTTCATTATCAGTTCCGTCCAGGGCAATAGCTACAACTGAGGACAGAGTGGTCGATTTCTTTAAGACCCAACTATCTTAAAATTCAAAATGCAATCTTTTTTGTGCTTTTTTCATCCAACATTTGCTATCTCATCGTGCCATGGACAAACACAGACCAGATCAGGTCTAAGAAAACAATGTGTTACCAGGAGCCGGTGTTCAAAGCACCTTCTCTGCTTGTTGTTGGAATAGTTTCGGTATTGCCATAATAAAAAGTCATCTCTGGATTTGTTCGACGCTGTCCCTTTAAACGGGGTACCTTTAAACTGCATTTCCTGTTTAACTACATTTCCCACAATCTACAATAAATAGGCGGGTCTGTAGACGGTCTTCATAATCAGGCCAACCAATCATATACATTCACCGGCGAGCGCGTAGTTCGAAATGGCGTTACGTTGTCCAATGATCTTGGGATATTGTTCAGTTTATAAAATCTGGCCAATCGGTACTACCGGTCTTGGCGCTAGGCCAATCAGAGGGCTACTATGCGGTAGATGGGCGTCACCAGGTCTGACCAATCAGATTGAATCTTGCGTTTAAACGGTGAACGCGGGCGGTGCTGGAGTAGCTTTGGGGGCGTGTCCAACCAAGTGAGGACTCGTGCTTGAATTTGAATTCAGGCGAACAGCTAACAACTTGTTAAGATTTTGGCCAACTACTACAGCACACCAGAGGCAGTGAGCAGTGGTGTAACACTGTAACTGTTGAAATATTCTGTACGTCTTGTTTGTGTGTTATAACTAGCTAGTATCACCGTAACGTTTGAATCGCCGCTCAGTGCTGTAACATTAGCTACAGGCATCGCTGTTTGAGGAGGGAGACTGCACTTTGCAATGAAAGCGGGCGGTAAGTAGCTTAAGTCCACTTAAACTAACTCTTACTACTAGAAATACGGGCATGACGTAATGTAAAGCGAGTGTTTGTGAACGTGCGTTTAATTCTCGCAATTTAAATAGAGTTAGCACTGGTTATTACCTCATAGCCAACTCAAACGTTAACCCGGGGTAACATTAGCCATGGGTACCTTCTGTAAGAAACTAATTTCAAATGGCTTTATGCTGGCAATATGTGTCTTCCTCCTGGCACTGTAAGCTGTGCTAATTAAAAAAAGCAATAAAATAACTCATTTTAAACTTGGTAGTCGTGACCTAACGTTAGTTGCATTTGAAGCACAGGAGGGAAATTTGGGCGCTCACTTGGTTTGACTTCAGTCAGACGCTCAGCTCGCCGTCGTTAGAAGGCTGTTAATGCTTACAACACTTTATTAATACGATGTTATAAGCTTGTTATGATACTTTTTAGGTAAGTATCCTTCCAGGAATTTAAACATTTGAGCACTCAAACAGAGAGTTTGAAGATGTCTTACGTTAGGCTTTTTCTTTTTGAATGTGGAGCCATAACCTTCACCGTGGTGTGTGTCTGACTATCAGCTACTGGCCTTAAAATTAAGTACAAATATTGATCTGACATTTACGTGAGAATGAGTTTGTGGGCCTTGCACTGAGATGTGAAATGCTTTTGGATGATTGTGTGTGTGTGTGTGTGTGCACTTCAAATGTGTTTAACACTATATTTCTTCTTGCACTCATGCCAAAGTATTGGAAACTTGTTATTGAAGTGTCTAACTTTGAACTACCCTTTTCTGTCCTTAGTCCACTGCCGTTGTTCAAAATGCTACACTGTCCCGGCTCGGAAGCGTGTGCGTAAGCGAACCCCAGCCCTCACGTTGCTGTCTCTGCCTGAGGAGGTCCTCCTCTGTGTGCTCCAGTGCCTCTCCGCTGAGGACCTGCTGTCTGTCAGAGCCGTGAGTAAACACACTGTACACACTGTAACACTACTACCCGACCTCTAGCGCGTGTGTGCCGCTTCACCTCACGTTTGGTGATTGTCTTGACCTCTACACAGGTTCACTCCCAGCTGCGGGACATCGTTGACAACCACTCCAGTGTATGGGCCCGCGTCAGTTTCAGGGACACGTGGCCATCCCCCAACACCTTATGGCTGTTTGAGAGGTACACTCACTTCTGTCAAATACAACATAAAACCTGCCCAGCTCCTGAAAAACAGATGTATTTATTCTCTTCTGCGTGAGTTTTAACCTGAAACATCTTATCTTCTTTCAGAGCTGCTGATAAAGGGAATTTTGAAGCTGCTGTGAAGCTAGGGATTGCTTATTTGTACAACGAAGGACGTAAGTTAAGCACTACACAACAAGAGCATCCTGGTTAAATTAAGGCCAAAATGAAACTGGGACATGAAACCCTCTTGATGATTTCCACAGCGCCTCACTCTTTGTGCCTTGTTTCTCTCCACCAGCATTGTTGAGCGATGAGGGGCGAGCCGATGTCTGCGGCCGCAAGGCCTCGCACTTCTTCAGCCTGGCAGAGAGCCTGCGCTCTCCCACGACTGATCCCTTCATCTGGGTGTTTATTCGCCCGCCGTGGTCGCCCACCGGCAGCTGCTGCAAGGCCGTGGTGTTTGACCGTCTCAAAGCGGAGTGTGACAACAACGTGGTAGGTTTGGCTATTCCCGTTTAAGAGCATGGAGGATGAATCTGCATTCATTTTTTAGCACCAATAATGTTCTTAAATTGTCCTTTTCTGTTCTTTAATGCAAATATGAGGTCAGACAATATGATGAGCTTCAATGCTTTTATCATGACACCACCAACTAAAGCTCTGAACAAGGCTGATCTTTTATTGCTCAGTGGAGATGCTGCCATGGCTTAAATTAACATCGCATTCACGACTCCATAATAATTTCATAATATCGGAGAAGTGTAGAGTAGAATGCACAGTGTTTATAAAGTAGATCATTCAAATTATATCACGTACGTGTTCGTTCATTCATTAATTTTTCTCTGATCCACAGGAGAAGAGAGGACCCTTGTTGCACTGTTTGGCCCGAGTTTTGCAGCTGTTTGAAGTGAGTGTAACAGTGAATCTGTCTCTGTTTTGGGTGAGGCCAACCAGGTTTCTCTTGGTCTCCGGTCAAAGTGTATTGCTCACAGGGGTTTGTTCGACTAGTTATTAACGGAACAGGTGGGGCGGTTGTTGTTTTCCCACTTCTTTCGTATCACACCGCGGTTGCAACCGGCCATGTTGATTATTCTTACTTGCGGCCCCGGTGTTCTTTGATAGTATGAAAAATGACTTCACATCACTTCCATTGAACTCTGGTCGGTTTTTCGGTATCGTGTCACACAAGCATTAATGCGTCGACGAGACGATGTTTGACCGCTTTGTTAGCATCTAAGAACAGAACCCTTTCTTTAGTTTCACTCACATCTGGAACTGTGTCACTGTTTTCCAGGGCGAAGAGAGACGCTCGGAGGCCGTATCTATGTTGGAGCAGTCGTCGCAGGCTGGCTGTCTACAGAGCTCCTACATGCTGTGGGAGCACAACCGGAAAGCAGCGGTGAGTGAGAATCTCTATTTAGTTTTCTAATCGGAGTTAAACTTCAATAAGTTGACCTTATTTATTTAGGCTACTGTACAGTTTCTCCATGTCAGGACTTCATACATGCATTCAATTGATTAAAAGACTAACAACAAAACACTGTTTTTATTGATTGTAGCAAGTTTATTCATTGAGAAATGAGGTCAAACAAGAGATATATATGTGTTTTTTTTTAATATATATATATTAATTTCAGGTGGCCGATCCAGGCAGGTACCTCCAGTGTATCCGAACCCTCAGGGACTATGCTGGCAAAGGATGCTGGGAGGCACAGGTGTGTGTGTGTGTGTGTGTGTGTGTGTGTGTGTGTGTGTGTGTGTGTGTGTGTGTGTGTGTGTGTGTGTGTGTGTGTGTGTGTGTGTGTGAGAGAGAGAGAGAGAGAGAGAGAGAGAGAGAGAGATTGAAGACAGAATTACCAGTACAATTACCAGTACATTGATGCAGCAGTCGATTTAATGTCTTGTGATGGCCTTCTTTGTCTTTATTTGCCCTCGGTGGTTCACTGTAATGATGCAGAAGACACTGATGTGTTTTCTCTTTTGATGGCTTTTCATCTGTCATGCTTTTGTTTCATTTCTCTGTCATTTCCCACTCCTCTTTGTCCAGAGTTGTTAGTTCTTCTTATTGAAGCATATCTGGCAGTGTCAAGAGACCACGTTTTTGAAGCTTTGCCAAAGCTGCTCCATTGAATCAAATTCGACTCATCCCAATCACAAGCTCTGTAATCACAGCAGCAGACTATTGCAGTACTCTGCCTCATTGTTTACAGCGTGATCAAATTCAACAAGCTGTCGAGCCATTCACAGCCGTTCTGAGACATTTGGTGAACAGATGATGTCGTCTTTCCTCAGCTCTCCTTGGCTAAAGTGTGCAGCGGTGGGAATCCGCTGGGTCTGGAGGCAAAGGCCTGCTCTGACCTGGTGGCTCAGCTCTTCGGGTCCTCTAACCCGGCATCACGACACTGCGCTCAGGGCATCCTGAGGCAAGGCATCAAGGACACCATGAGGTACACAGATCGTGATATCACTGGCATGATCACAGATCGTTGTTGTATTATTATCTGTCTAGACAATGTGAATGATCCTGTTAGTCATTGCGATGACTCACTGTGTTCTGATCATCTTGGCTTTCTCTAATGACATTACTGAAGAGTAGATGTAACAGAACACCAGCACGAGTGGCTTCTCAGAGAATAATGTGAAACAAAAGCCTTCAGGGAGATTTCAAGATTTTCAAAATTTTACGATCAGATAATGTCTAGTTTAGGGCCTCCACAAGCCAGTCTGCCAGTAAAGATATATATCTATATCTATATAGACCCATTATGATCCATCTGTCTGTTAAAGGGCTGTGCACACCTCGCGTATGAAAATAGATAGAAGACAGGCCTTCTAGCCTGACACGCAGGCTACATTAGAAGCATAACATACGCGGATGGTTTGCAGAGCGTCTGCTGCAACACTACGCTTCCGCTACAATCAACTGGCTGCAGCAGGCAGGCGAGCAGGGGGTCAGTTGTGCAGATGCTCAACGGAGATCCGCTCCACAAGCGTAAAAATACGCCATCTTGTATTTATATTTGTACGTTATCTGCACAGAAATGGGTCATAAAATGTCTATTTGTTTATTCATTATTAAACTACCGATGTAAAGGAAATTACATAATGACTGACGCTGAGAATATTGGCAATTTGTTGGCATTCATTTTGCCAGAACCAGTTAAAGACTTCAATCTTTTGCCTCTTGTTACACTGTCATTGCTTCAATTTGTGCTGGTCTGCCTGTCCAGGTACATCCTGGTGGACTGGCTCGTGGAGGTGACCACCATGAAGGATTTCTCCAGCCTGACACTGCACGTGACCGTGGGTTGTGTGGACCGCTACCTGGCTCTGCGCTCGGTCCCCAAGGCTCGCCTCCAGTTATTGGGAATCGCCTGCATGGTAGTTTGTACACGGTGAGAATGCACACGTGCCTTTTTATTCTGAAATGTTTATTTATTTCACTTTGAATGAAACGGTTGTAATACAGTTTTTAGGCTCTTTTGGGAAGTTAGAAATATTTTAGGTAAAATGAAGGATCCTTTATTATTATTATTTTTGGGAATAAATACAATTTAGTTATAGATTAAAATCCATCTTTTTTTAATGTTTGGTTCTTTTTGTTTTCAGCTATATCAGTAAAGAAATCCTGACCATACGTGAAGCTGTCTGGCTCACAGACAACACCTACAAATATGAGGACCTGGTTCGAATGATGGGGGAGGTCGTCTCTGTGCTGGAGGGAAGGATCAGGGTGAGTACAACCAATGTCCTCGTATAATGTAGAGGAAAGAAGACCCCGAATAGTCAACGTTTCCATTTTATGAGCCTGATTCAACCGCCAATCTCAGTCCAATCTTCGCAGTAGCAGAAAAACGTGGTCATGAAACAAAGCGTACTTCTCACAATTAACAGCAACAAACGATTTTGTTGTTTTTTTACTACTTTCCATAGATGCATAAAGATTAAACTAAGGGGTGTCAATGGCCCCAAAAAAAACATGATTCGACAATAAGCAAGACGTGAGCAACTAGATTCGACGATGTGAATTCTTAGTGCCGATAAAAGATGTTAAGAACTGACTTTGAACCTTTTGAATATAAAGAGTGGTTTCATGCACTTCCCCCTCAGAGCCCCACGCTGCTGGACTACGGTGAGGTGCTGCTGTCGCTGCTCCCTCTGGAGAGGCGGACCGCTCACCTCTTCAGCTACGTCTGCGAGCTGTCGCTGCTCTACTCCGCTCTCGCCTCTCCACCGCCCTCCAAACTGGCCTGCGCTGCACTACTGCTTACACGAGCGCTACATCACTATGGTAATAACACACACACACACAACACGCCTGTTTGACAAGCACTGTATCACCCGTTAAACACTGACATGTATTGCAAATAGAGTTCACAGCCTTAGTCGAGTGTTAAGTTTACGTTGACTTATGTCTGCTGTCTCCATCTCTGCAGCTCCCGTCTGGCCCAGCCAGTTAGTCGACTACACCGGCTTCTCCAAGGAGACCCTGGCCTCTCTGTCTGTGCTGCTGTATGTCAAGTGGTAAGTGTCTCCACTTCTCTCATCATCCTCCTCCTCCTCCAACCGCTCCGTCACCCAGTCTGTCGAGTGACATTCAGCACACGCAGGTCTATTTTTTCTGGTTCCTTTGTTCAGCCCTAGTGATGTGGTGTTATCATGGCCAGCATAGACATTGTATACATTCTAAAAAGGCACTTAAAAATACACTTCATCTGTTGTCAGCAGGGTGAGTCTCTCCTCATATCTATAAAGAAAAAGAAACTTAAATTAACCCAAAAGCTAATTGCCATTGTTGCCTCGGAAAGTTGTTATGTGGACTTTGTATTTTGCATTTTGTGTGTTATTTTCTTCACAGCAGAGAACAGGAAGATGATGCTAATGGGCTAGATGTATTAATAATACAACTGAAAAAGCGTTGAATAAACCATGTGTACACGGTGGTTCACAAAACCTTTTCTCTCGTGAGCCTTTAAAACAAACCGAAGAGAGCTCGTAACCCCTCATCAAAGCTTCTGTATTTCAGTGAGCGCTCCGAACAAAGTGATCTTTACCTTCTCAAACAGTTTAGTTTGAATATTTTAAAAGGCCTGAAGAGGTAAAACGATACAGTATCAAAATAAAACGTAAATCTATCGATTTAGAAAAATGATCCACTGTGACCGTTGCTGAGTAATGACAGCAGCACTGTTTGATAACCGAAGGCATCCACTGTGGCTACAACGTTAAACATGGTGCGGTAAACACACTATATATTTTACTCTGAGCTACAGAAAATGCTATTAGAAACCTCTCAGTCCAGTTTCAGATTGTTACTGTACCTTCATACTGCTTTCCTCCATGGATTGGTGATTTGTACACTGTTGTCAGCATGCTCACCGTGATTAGATGTAAGATTGTCTATAATGTCTGGTGACCAAGAAAATGGATGTCCATTAAGGTATTGAAGCCCAGAGAGAGCTGCAGTCATAAGAGACGGTGGAAATCATTTGGTGTGTGTGTGTGTGTGTGTGTGTGTGTGTGTGTGTGTGTGTGTGTGTGTGTGTGTGTGTGTGTGTGTATATATATATGTGAGACCATCAGTGAATCACCAACTGAGTCACACAAACGTGCCTCAGGGTGAGTCACTTTGATAGGTGAGCGTCGTATCGACAAACTGTAATTCTCAAATGGACAAGTAACGAGATTTGTCCTCAAGAGCTGATTATAAAGATGCAGCAAAGCAAAGTGCATGAGACTCACTCATTTTTCTTCCCTTTGTCTCCCTCCCCTCGCACTCTCGTCTCCTCAGTTTCAGTGACGACGTTCCCAAAGATTACAGGCACGTGTCTCTCACTGGTGTTAAGCAACGGTTTGAAGATGAGGCCTTCCAGCACATCAGCAAAGAAAAGGTACTTTATTTATTGCCAGTATAGGAACACAACACACACATTGTTTTTAAATTGTAGCACAGCGTGTGTCTCTCAATGGTTGTCTGAAACGGGTTTATTGATATAACTTCATGGCTTCCACAAGGTGATGGATTTCAAAGAGCTGTGTCAGATCTTGGAGATTCCTGAGGTGGAGCCTGAGATGGAGCCTCCCAGTCCCACGGGTCAACCAGCGGACATCCACACCTTCCTCGCCTCTCCGTCCAGCACCAACAAGAGGTAAACCAGTGAGCAACACACTGAGTCCCCATCACAACACACTGGGGACAGGTGTTCTATAAAAAAACACTTAAATATAGATCAAATGTATTGATGCATATATTGTGCATTACTGTGAACACTTGCACAGTCTATGTTGCATAATGCAGTATAGCCCGCTGGCCCCTAGACATCCTTCTAGTTGTCCTGTGAGAAATCTCACACTTGCTTCGCTTGCATTGCTCTCTAATGGCACTGGGCCATTGGGCCACTGTAACTTTTAATCCCATTGTTTTATGGTGTTATCCAATATGTTCACTAACTTATATTTAGCCACTTTTGTTACTTTAGTTTGCACTCTCTTTTTACAGTCAGGGCCTGGACTGTGTGCAGAACAAAAAAACAAGAATCCCACAAAGGCACCACTTTAATTCTTGTGTTCACGAGAGATGTGCTCATAAGTTTCTTGGAAATAAGTCATTCGGCATGAAAGAAGTGTACAAAAACCGACTAAAGAGATCTTAGTCGAGTCGACTGAGACCAAAACCACTGATTAGCCGACAAAGAGGCGGCGGCCCTATTACATACTGTAGCTCCCAGGTTTACAACACATCCTTTAGTATTTAAAGCACCTGTGTGACAGGACGTGAGGTATTGAGTTACTAGAAACAACTCTCTCCCCTTGCTCATTTGGCAGTTCTGATCACTGCCGAGGCTCCCGTACTTGGTAACAGACGGACTTGTTAAACGTTTGTTTGTGCCATCTGTGAGACGCTCCGGTGACTCACTCTAACGCACTTTCTCCACTTCAGGAGGCGCGATGACGCCATGCAGGCCCACAGAGCCGGCTTTGTGGCCACACCCACAGCGGAGCTGTCCAATCAGGAGGAGACGCTGCTTGGCGACATATTGGACTGGAGTCTGGACACTTCCTCCTCCGGTTATGAGGGGGACCGGGAGGAGGAGAGCGAGGGAGAGAGAGACTGCGATTGTGAGTGTTGAGGAAAAAGAAGGGAGAGGGGCTGATGGGCACGTTTATTTCCAGTTTCTCTGCAAAGCATATCCATTAAGTACTCCATATATATGCATAGAGAGGAGAATAATGCACGAGTCATTCTCTCAGTACATTAAGCAACTCAAGAGGATGCGGCAGTTGAAAGCATAATAATCCAGCACATATATTTCAGCACATTATTCAGGCTTTCCGTCGTGGACAAATGACGATGGTAGCTGTACAGTTTGCCAGGCTCTGTTGTTTGTGTGAACGTAACCCAAAAATGATTCATTGTTTTAAACTCGGACACTTCTCTTTTTCACAGCCTCCATGATATCCATCAAACTGCACTCGGTGACCGACGCAGACGTGAGACTGGAGCACTGCAGAGCCTTGTCCAGCGACGAAGACAGCTTCTCTGAAGCGGAAAGGGAGGTGAGCAAGGACCGCAAAGACGAGGAGCCCCTCCCCTTCCCGACAGACCATCACAGTTCAGGATACTCCTCCGTCCAGAGTGTTAGCCCCTCGTCCACGTGCTGCTCCGCTACCCTCATGCCTTGCACATTCAAGACCGTTACCACTTCCCCGGGCACCGCCTCCGCCAATGCCCAGCCAGGCTTCCGCCTTTTGGTGCCCATGCAGAGACCCCGGGGCACCTCCACCAGACAAGTGAAGAGGAAGAACTCGGCAGCTCATAGCGGAGGTGAGGTGGAAAGAGAAGAGGAGGAAGGAGACGAGTATTCTGCCAATGCAGGGTTTCTGAGCCTATAGACGGAGGGGTTGCCCAGAGACCCCCCCCCTCCCCTCCCTCAGTTATGATCCGTCAGCACTTTTCTTCAGTTCTCAATGCTGTTACCTGTCAGCCCGCACTGAGCCGTCAATTGCCTGAAGATCAAGAGGCTTTCAAGGAAGGGAAAACAAATGAATTAGCAGGAAACTCGCCTTTGTATCACGTTTCATTTCATTTACACGTTTACAGACACAATCACATACCTCCCATAAACCAAGCCGGTCCGCTCTGAAACCACTGGAACACGACTCGACTCTCCTCAGGAACCGTTCTGTTGGTCTACAGCCTTCTGCAACAACAGATCTCAGATCGTTGTAAAAGAAATGAAACCTCGCGGGCTCGTTTCCGGGGGGGGGGGGGAGGAGAAGAAGAAGAAGAAGAAAGTGTTCATTGTTCAAATCATATTGTACTGAAATCTTAAACATAGCTGTCATGTTATTGTGATTGTTTTGGTTATCATAGTTATCTGATACGCACTGTACAAGACTATCTTGTAGTTGGTGAATGTCATCAATAGGGGACGGGAATGTCTGCATCTGAAGCCTAAAAAAAAAAAAAAAAAAATGATTGTATGAACTCATTTTGTTGAGTTTTGTCCTTTTTTAGTTCTACGTGTTTGCCAAAGGTACTGTTGTGGTGTCACTCGCATTTTCAGGGTCATCTACTTTCATAGAAACAGAGCTGTGAAATGACTTTTCTTTTAGTAGTCTGCATCTTCTAGAGTGCATATATTTGCATATTTTTTCATCCATATTACCTGAGGAAGTTAAAGATAAAGTGTTCTCTGCATAGATTTAAATGTGCGGATATCTACCCTACCAGTTTGATCCATATTACCTAAAAGACCTTTAGCGCACTAATCCCATCAGGAACAACATGTTGTTAAGATGTTAACTGTTGAGATGTTGACAATGTGTGCTGATAATGTAACCAACCAAGAATCACCAGCTGGATGAGTGTCGTAGCCTATCGTCCAGATGTGTTAGTGTGACACAGTCTTTAACTAATCAGCTCAAATGTAACGAGGCACTCGATGCATCATGAAACTCTAACATGCTGTGAAGTGATAAGTTGGATTTAACCCACTTTTCCTCCCGTCGGAATTAGGTCTAGCACTTTTATCATCGCATTCAATGAAATGTAACAATTTCCCCGCTTGAACAATCAATACGTAAGTGTTTTTGTATGGATTTGCTTTGCCTTCTTGGAGTGAAAGGGAACTTCAGACACTAAAGGGACATTTTTTTACCTGACGGTGTTTTGAAAGTGCTGTACGCCTCATTCAGGACACAAAAGTCTGTGACTGACTGTAAATCCATTTTTAACTGTTATGCCCAGCTGGTTATAACCTGTTTTATAACCTATGTTTTAAAATGTACGTAGTACTATATGTATACATGGAGAAAGACGAAGGAACATGCCACTACTACTTGAAATTGTTTTCGCTTCATTCCAAAAAGGCAGTTCTCTTTGTGAAACTTGTGTTTTTCTACAGTGCAGTGTTTTCTCTATCGACCTATGATGTGAATATGTAATTTTGTATTGAGTTTAAATAAAATAAGCCATCATGCAAGTTTCCTTTCAGTGTTTCTTATTGTGCCACCACGCAAACACACAATTTAATTTGTCATAACATTCCTCTAAATTATTGTTCTTTTCCCTAACAAACTGCTTTTGTTGGACTTAGTGAGAACTATCAGCAACATGAATACAAGATGTTTTTGAAGAAAAACTTTTAAGTTAGGTTGCGTTCAAGAGCCGGACCCATAGAAGAAGTTCATGTTCATTGACCCTAACCTCAACTAAATCATTTAAATTCAAGAACAGCCTAAAACTCTACAAAGCGGCCTAACTGTTGACTATATTATCTGTCCCAGAACTTCGTAACTTTCCCTTTAAGTAGAACCAGAAACTACTAAGAAATTATATATAATTTAAGGAAAAATATAAATTTTCTTTTTTTTTTTTCAACATGAAGGTCTAAATGCTGATTCAAATCTGTCTCCACACTGCCAGAATTCAAATTCTGGTGAAGAAATACTGAATCCTGTTGGGAAAGTAGTGAGTCTAAAGATCCTGGAATCAGCCTGTCAAACATAAACTCTCAGGTTGTTAAAACACATTTCCAGGAGGACAGGCCCTCCTTCCCCAGTTGTAGCTGTGGCCCTGCTGTTAAAGTGCCACCGATTTTACTGGTAAAGTTCAGTTTACTTGTTATCAGGAGTACTTCTCACCCTTTGACAGCCAGTGGGGGAAAAAAAAATTGTATCATGTCTTCTGCAGCTCTGGAGGACTTTTTCTAACATCTGAGAAAATAACCTAAAGACTTAAAGTCTGTGTTACAAACTGAAGGTGTGGAGTTTGAAAGATGAGGTCCTTTACCAAACAGGGACGCTCTAATTAAGAGACACTGAATTGCACGAGGTAGCCATGCACTGTATTAGAGGTATTAAATTAATTCAAATAAATTGTAATTATTGTCACATGAGCCTTGCTGCTCTAGACACACTGATTTACTTGCATAATGTAACTCGTTGAACACACTTACTATTGTTTGGCCTGTGATTTTTTCTGGATATATGACCAACAATCAAAAACGTTTGGCCAGCCCAGCATGTACTGTCAACTTCAACGTATTATATCATAACAGAGAAAATGATTGAAACAAAAAAATAATAAAAAAATTGACTACAACACAGTAATGTCTGAAACAACGCAGAAGGGCAAAACCACTATTCGTACTAAAATTGTAATAAAAATGAATATTTAAAAAAAAGATCCTATATTACATATTTATTATTTTCTGTGCGCCCAGCTGTTGCGATCACGTGACACCTCTGCTCCACTGTGATCACGTGACCCGTACTTTTGCACAATGAATACACGGGCTAACGTTGATACAGTAGCTGGTGCAATGTCATCGCCTCGCTAGCAGGCAGCGAACTGGAGGGTGAGAAGCACCGGGGCTTACTGACGTGCTGGGCTGCACTACTGCGAGCAGAGCCTCGGCGGTGTCGGTGAAGGAGGAACCCCCGCAGTGATGCGTTTCTCATCGGTTTGACACCAAAAAAAAAAGGAGGAATTGCATTCACCTCGACAGGAAGAGGGGACCGCAGCTCGGGAAGTTAATGTGCCGAAACCTGCTTTGTTTAGAGGTAATTTTACACATTTATGTCTTAAAGCTGCTTCGGTGGGGACATTCGATACCGTATGGCGTGTCAAATGATATAATTTCGCGTTATATTTGGGAAATACCGAGCTTTGTTTCTCAGCTCCATCATTAGCATTCGTCGGAATCCTTTGGGATTGACGAACAAATCGATCGTCCAATCAGAAGGCCCAGAAGGCTGTGTTGGACCAATCAGAGAAGAGCAAGGCAGGTTCCGGTTAATAAGGAAAAAGGTCCACGTCTGTAATGGCCTTATTGTTTTGCTAAAACATCCTGATTGAGAAATGGCTGCCCTAAAGAACTACATGGATAATACATAGAAAAGGAAAAGGATGCAGCCACTCCGAGATGAATGGCACCAGTGTGATATTCAAGCAGTTCCAGTATGACCAGTATGGTTACATTATGAACTCAAGAGCTGTGCTGTGAAATGGGACTCCAATTAGGTCCCACAAGACTCCCGTGAGGCCAGTTGTAGAAGCTTTAACAGCTCGTATTTATTGATCATCCTCTTTGGACTGTACCTGGTCGGGGAGGTGACTACAGAAGTATTAGCAAAAGCTATTCTAGTGGCATGTGAGTTTATTATCCGTTTTATCAGCGTCTTACATAATCTCCATTGGCCTGTAACTGGTTCAGCTTGTGGATGCCATTTTTTTTCCAATATTTTCCTTATTAGGGTGGTTTTAGTTTTTTATAACTGAACTCATTTCCTTGCTGATGTCAACCCTTTCATTTAATTGTACCACTTAGACCTGTTTCCCTTCCCCTGTCATGTGATTTTCTTCACTCATAACTTGTTTTGTGTACAGTGTCTGAATATAAACACAACATCATGCTCATCATGTTACTGTCGATTGCTCAATTTCACTTCTCTTATTTGTTTTCTTGAGTTATGTTGAAAACAAACTGAGACCCGAAACTTTTACAGTCGTCACTGCGGTGGGAAGCTGTTTCGAAAACGCAACTAAAGCTTCAAGAAACCTTCATACAAAGATTGAATTATACATTGAGCTCTAACCTCGAACTTTTCTCTCTCCAGCCACTGTAGAAGGCTGACTGGACTGCGGCCTGTGTACCGCTCAAAATGGCTATCGTGCGACAATTTGGACTACTGTTGTGGAAAAACTATCTTCAGCAGGTGAGTTGGAGGGGAGGTGAACCTACACTCGGCTTGTACGTGTCCTTGTTTGGCGCCGACATCGTTTTGCGACTGTGAATCGTCAGAAGTGTCGGTGTTTACCGAGCAGAGGCCTGCATGACAGTATTTGCTAAGTTATAGGCTCACGGGACGTCATAAATACAGTGAAGTGACTAACATTTTGTTTTCTGCAACTTATGATGTTCGCCAGCGACATGGAAACTGGTTGCCTTGACCTCATCAATATACAGAGTGCCTGCACTGTTGTTGTGACTCGGGGCTCCAGCTAGGTCAACATGTTGGTGGCTGTCGCAAGCTTTTCCAAGCATTTTATGGCTGTTTTTAGGGGAACGGATTCATTATTCTCACAATACAATGCATGAAATGCAGTCGTAGCCTCTGACACAATACATTAATAGAATATCAACAACAATAAAATAGAACAAGTTATATAAAAATAGAACTAAAGGCATATATACAAATACGTATTTACTATGTACTGTTTACATACATACAGAGATATATATATTATCTTTTTTATCAGTTCCAGTGTGTATCGGTCTGAATGGCAGCTTGCATAATTTTGAACATTAATATCAGTTGATGGTTGCACAATGTTGCCTGCAACTATCGAGAAATTGAATTGGCTATCTTTCTGCGTAGTTGCTCCATCACCCTTCATCCACTCCCTGCTGCGTCTAGAGACGACAGGGACTCCATTAGGACCAGGCAGGAAACTAAAATCCCGTGCATCTTAGTGTTTAGTGTCCATCTTGGCTGCAGAAAAACATACACAGAGTGCATGTATACCGAATATAATGCATTACTTACTTTGCAATGACCTTATATTTCTGGGCCACGCTGTTTTTTGTGGACAACTGGCTACATTTAGAAAAGTTGAGGTCATGTTGACATATTTCCAGCTGAGCAGGTTTCCGTTCTTTTCAAAGTGTTTGTTCTACTCATGAATGTTATCGCTGTACTTGTTCTTTGTTTTACAACGGCATGTTGTCTAACCAGAGCACAATGAAGGATTGTCTGAACCGTATTGTGAGGCAAGAAAAATAACTTTTTCTGCATATCATTAAGTCCTGTAGAGGGATTTATAGAGGGATTTATCCAAAATGTATTTGAAATCTGTTGAGTGAACCTTTTTTTTTATATCATTAAAAACAATTGTGCCCTAGTAAGGTATTTATTATTCTTTATTGTCCCGTGCACAATGGTTACAAAGAAGCAGTGAAAATCTCAGATCTCCGGCTCCCTCCAACAATGCTCAATAAATATGAATAAAAAGAAAATCACACAAGTAAATAAAAGACATAATATGCAAGTTGAAATATAACAAATATAAAATATTTATAAATTTGTGGGAGACATAATAATCTGTGGTTGGGGTCTCTGATTGTAAAAAAAACAACAACAATGTCAGCTTGTATTAAATGATACGGTACCGGTAGTTCTGTGTGTCAATACTGATAGCAGAACAATATTCACTTTGATTCCTTACTTTGATGAGTGTGTACATATTTTCAACAATACATAAAATGGGGCATCTATCACACAACCTCAACGAGTGCTGAAAGGGGAAGGTTGATATTGGCGCCCTTCTGGGTTTGACTGTAATGTCCTGAAACTGTCCAAGTCACTCTGTGCTCCAATCGCTCAACAGTAGGAGGCCGTCACATTACGCTTCATGTCAACTGTCTGTGAAATCATTTCTGATTGAGTGATTGATGCCCAGACCCCATCTTGACTTAAAAAATGACATGTAGTTAGCATTTTCAAAGCATATTGAAAATTAGGAAATGAAAATAGTTAATAATCTCAATATCTTTTCAGTCTGAGCCTCATATTTCATATTTAAAACGTTTTTTCCCCTTAATTTTACACCCTTGAAGCTGAAGCTTCTCATTCCCTCTTTTATCTTCTGCTTGTTTTGTTTCTTTCTTACCTCATACACCTCTATCAACTCTATTCTTGCTCTCCAGAAACGTCAGATCCTGGTAACTCTGGTGGAGATACTCCTGCCCCTGCTCTTCTCTAGCATCCTCATCGTGCTACGCCAGAAGGTGCCTTTTAAGGACTACCCAAATGCCACGGTCTACGAGAGCTATGCCGTTGGCACGCTACCAAACGGCATGTATCGAGGCTTGCAGCTGGCCTATGTGCCCAGTACCTCCAGTGTGGTGCGTCAGTTGGCAGAGGATGTGCGCCGCAGCCTGATGCTCTCCTCAGGTGGGTATTGGCAGCAGGGAATGGGTGGCAGGTTCAGCACGACGATGTAGGCGTGTTTAAACTTCAAATCTGTGAAAAGCAGGGCGTCCAGCATATTAGCTTAGCTTAGCATAAAGACTGGAAACAGGGAAACATCTAGCTTCCTCTACAGTTAAGAAAATCTGTTTAATAGCACAACTGAAGCTCACTAACACACGTTATATCTTGTTTCTTTAATCAAATCAAAACAAGATGTAATGTCAAATTATTCCTTTCATATGGCGTAACACTTCATAAAACATGTTTACATTTCAGTGACCAAATTCGTTTGCCAAAAGTTTGTTGGATATTACTGAAAGAAATTTAGATAAAATATAAGAATGGGTTGCTTCTAAAATCTGGATACAGTTGCAGTGAAGCCTAATGTTTACATCCCCAGTTTGAGCTGTTAGTACCACCATTATTATCAGTGAAACAAATACCACAGCCTTCACAACAAGTCAGTCTGGAGGTGGGAATACTGGTTCCTTCATGAGATCAACAGGCCGCACCCTTCTCTCGTGTCTGGCTGTATCACTGGGAGGTTAGATGGGGAAAGAAAGGAAGCTCACACACTGATATATCTTACCCTCCTCTCTCAGGACACTTACTCTCAATTCTCTTTTTAATTCACACACTCGCACCTCTGCGTGACCAGCTGTTCAGATAAACTTGCAGAAGGTCTGACTGACTTGTTTTCTTGCCGACAGACAATCGAAGATGTTAGGTACTGAAATGCCTTTTTATATGTTTTATGTGGTGCATTGTGAAATACTGAACTGTGAAATGAGAGTTCCTGTATTGTGAAGTCAAGTTTTTGTTGTTATAAAAAAAACATTTGACTTCTTCTTGTGTAGATCATCGATGAGAGAAGTTATGTTTTCTTGTACTATTATTATTCAACTGATGAACCGTTAATGCTAACTGCTAACTTCATTTTATTTTTAGCAAAAAAGTTGAACCATTTTTCGATTACTCGGCTAATTTCTTTTTAAATAGTCACTCGCTGATCAGCTATTTCATATTAATATAATCCTATTATCTAACCATTTAAACCTTAGATCCATTTCGACTCTCTGTTCGCTTGCTAACTAACACTCACACTGCCTTTAAGGTGTTACAGCTGACTCAGGTTGATTGGAGGTGTTTGTAGTGCAGTTAGCGCAGCTAGCTTGCTGGTTATTCTCATAATAAATTCACTAAAAATCAGCATCACACCAATTTGTAAGTCTATATGGATATTCTGATTTTAAATGCAAATATCTGGATGTATAACTTTGAGCGACTCCTGATTTTAATTTTTTTTCCAAGTAGTGTACCACTTTTACAGCTGCAAAAGTAACCCCTGCATACAATTACCCCTGGTTGGGAATAATTGTGGTAAACTACAAACCATTTAAGCAGTGTTCAAGTGAAGAGCAGTGTAGCAAAGGCAGGCTTGAACTGGTGTGTTTGTCAGCCATCTGTGTGTCTGCTGACAAGTGTTTATTTTATGAGATTTACCTTCGGGGCCAATATTTAACACTGAGGTCCTTTGCCGGACTCGGAATACCTTCACGAGTGCTTGATAAGTGCAATAGAAATATGCCATTGAGAAATCCAGTTCTGTTGTCTTGATAATATTGCTCTTAGAGCTCAGTATGCCGACAGCATCTCGAACCTGCTGCCATGAAGGCACCAAGGTCTCGCAATGAGACGGGCATGAAAACAAACGTACATGAGACGAATGCAGCGCCACTAATGCGATGCTGTTTTAATCGATGTGTGTGTGTTCGTTTGTTTTCCAGTGCGTGGCTTTGAGACGGAGGAGCAGTTTGAGGACTACGTGAGAAAAAACTCTAGCTCAGGAAAGCTACTGGCTGCTGTGGTGTTTGAGCACCCTTTCACCCACGACGATGAACCTCTGCCCCTAAAGGTGAAAGGCAGCACACACACATACACACTGTAGCACACACTGTAGCAGCTTGACTCTTGCACCTGAGGAGTGGTGCATTGTGTTGTTGTCTGGTAAAAGATGCAACACAATGACATGTTTTTTTGTTTAACTGATCTCAGTGTAAGGAAGATTAAATAATTTAGATTTACTGTTTGTTACCAGCTTGACTGGTTCAGGCCCTTTTGTTTTGCTCCCTTTGTTTGTTTTGGCCAGCTGGTAGCTTAAACACACACAAGTCTTGGACTAACAAACATCAACATCATGTTTTTGGTCAGGTTCATTATTAAGCACCACAGTGTAAGGTAACATGGTTGTGACTACCAGGTTTCTGTCTACTCTGATTAAATGAGAAGTAAAAGGTAGAGAAGAGACCTGACGTCACATATGGGGAAATGTTTATCTGGCTTCAGAGAGCTTGCAGCTCATGGGGGGAGAGAGAGATGAACTCTCACATTTTTGGGTGAATCCTCTACCCGTATTTATTACTTTATTATCCTTGTAGAAAGTTCTTCCTGCTGCCAGGGCCCTGTTTCAGACAGCAGGCAGGCTTAGACATATATTTGGATCTTAGTTCAACAGCATT